CTTGCTGTCTCCAGAGGTGCCCATTGCCTGTCCTCCACCACCTTCCACGCCCCTCACCATGAAAAAGCGCAGGGCCGTCCCCCGATGGTCACGGAGACATTGCTGCCAGCATTGAGGTGGCTGCCTTCGATGGCGATCCAGGTGCCACCAGAGAGAGGACCCCGGGCTGGGACCACGCGGGAGAAAGTGGGTGTCTGTCAAAGGAAAAGAGCAACCTTGGCGTCCAACAGGCTGGGAACCAAAACACACATCCCCAAGCAGCACCAAGCGGGTGACAGGGCTGCAGAGGAGAGGGACCTGTGGGACATCAGCAGGGCATGGTGTGGAACGGCTGGCAGTGCCAGCAGGACTGTGGGCAGGCAGAGCAGTGGCAGCCTTGGAGAAATTCAACCAGCACAACCCAACGCCTGCCCAGAGCACCCCCGTCTTCCCCCTGGAGAAATGATGGGCAATTTTCCAAATCGCCTGGAAAACCACCCAAAACCACCCAGCATCACCTCCCTCCCACAGTGCCCTTGTCTCCCAGCACAGGGCTTACCACGAAGGTGAAGCTCTTGGGGGACACAGCCCGGTAGTTGGGCGAGCAGTCGCGGATGCACACTTCTACCCGCGCATCGTGGACCTTGCTCAGGCTGGCATCTCCGATTTCACACACGATCCTAAAGGATGCGGGGAAGGAGCCGTCAGTGTCCCGGCACCGAGATGCTCCCTGTGCCATGGTGAGGATGGACTGGCTTCAGGGACAGATCTGACACCAAGCAAAGGTCGCAGGTGCCAGCAGGTTTATGAGAAACCGAGGAGGTGACTGTTGGCACTGCCAGCCTTGGAGGGAGCTTCCCCAAAGCCTTTGGGCTTTACTCCCAGAGCAACCACAACCAGCAGGTACTTCTCTCCCAGTTCAGCCCAGTCAGCTCTATGTCTTCTGCAGCCACAGGCAGCATTTGAACACCAGCACCCTTGTCCCTGACCTTGGATGATCTGGAGCACGCCCACCCCTCAGCAGGCACTTACTGCTCAGCGCTGATGTACTCGCTCTCGATGGGCATGCACACCACTTTGCCGACTCGAACGCCCCAGCGAACATCTTCAAACTTCAGGCCCAGGTTCTCACCAGTGATGGTCAGATGGGTCCCTCCTTGCCTGGGGCCGGTCTCAGGGTACAGCTAGAAGAAAGCATGGCCCATCAGCCAAGGGAGCAGAGCCACAGGCATGCTCTGCTCAGGCCGGCTGCAGCCCAGGCAGCTGTGGGATGTGTGTTATTCCCCCAGGAGCAGCGATGAGCAGATGGGTGATGATAAATGCCAGCACGTCTGTAAGGAGCCCACAGAGCAGGAAAGGCCTCCCAAATGACAGCCACATCCACAAATTCCCCCAGGAACAAGGCAGGAGATGCCAGATGTATCCAAGCAGAGGGTCGGGATTTGGACACCCTGCTGCAGATGGAGCTGCCTCACAGGTGACAAGGACATGGATGGGAAGGAGGCAGGGCAGCATCAGCCACAGCTCCAGCTGAGCCGTAAAGGAAGCACATGGATCTCTCTGGCTTTTGGTTAGGTTCCATGTACCCAGGGATGAGGTCTCCACATCCAAGACATCCTCAAAGAAGAAAGCATCTCCACCAGGTCCCTGCAGATGGCAGGCAGGGGGAAAAAGAGTTTCTCTCTGCCAGCAAACACTGTGCCAAGGCTGGATGAGAAGGGAGGGACCTCAACGTGGTGCCACACCTCATTTACTAGGATGATGCCAAATAAAGTGGGCAGGTGTGGTCTGACAGTGGCAGGATGAGGGATGAATGGAGATGCAGACCCACCACTGCCTCCAACCAGGCAATTACAGGCAGTTTTACAGCAGCACTCACTGGCCCTGGGGCCCAGCACCCACCTGCAGTGATAACTGGGATGAGTGGCAGGACTGTGAGCCCTGGCTGGGACCAGGGACAGGTCCCCAGTGACACCAAGACAGAGTAGGGGAAAAGGCAGCTGGCAAGGGACAGAGTAATGCAGGCTGGGTTGGTCCAGGAGGAAGGTGTGTCCTGACCCAGGAAAAGGGACCATTTTGTTGCAGGTGATGTCCTCCTCTGCCCATGCTCCTGTGGCACTGGCAAAAATCCCCTCTAGCACTGGGAGGCATCTCTGCCAGCGCTGAGTCCAGCACCTGGACAGGCTCAGGTCACAGCCACGTTCACACCAGGACCAAGTGTGTGTGAGCTCTTTGCATTCCTGGCAAATCTGAGCAGCTGCAACCCTGGGGCCTCAGCCAGCTGGAGCCACCTCCTCCTTTTCCTCCTCCTCCTCGCACAGGGCTCACTCCTGGACATCATCCCCACAGCGAGGAAAGGTGGATGAGTGGAGGGTGGGAAACACACAGTAGTGGACATTGTCCACATCCCCAGGTCCAAGGGACCACATGAAGCCTGTGGTTGTTTCTGCACAGCCCCACTGCAGCCATCACTTCTTGGGTTAACCACTGTCCTCTGGATTTGCACCCAGCTGATCACCTTCCTGGAGCCCTGGCTCCACCGAGGAAGCCACAACTCACAATTTACATGGCAGTAAAACTCTCTGGGGCTGCGAGGAACTGCTCTTTGCCTAAATCCAGCTCAGCCCCTGCCGAAGTCCTGGACTGGAGCTCATCATGGCAGCTGCAGCCAGCATTAGGTTGGGTCCATCTCTTAAATCTTGCTCTGTCGGGGAAGCTGGCAAGAAGCAGCTGTTTGTTTGGTGTTTCTATATGGCTGTTAAAAGCTGCTCCAGTGTGTTTGATTCCTCCTCCTCCATGACAAAGCTGACAAGGGCCACGTGTTCAGGGAGAAATGAACCCAGGACTGAAATGACATTGATCACCCAGCACAGGGAGGCCACAAGTAAAAAAGGTGTGTGGAAGGAGGGAGTTGACAAGGACAGCAGGGGCTGTTTGAGCCTCCCCTTTCCTGGCTCCTCCTCAGAACCCCTGGTCCCAACAAACACTGCCACTTTTCTGCTAATTGGTTTCACCAAGTCCTTTTACATCAACAAACAAACAGCTCCGGTGGGCACAGGCAGCGGGCTCGTTCCCAGCTCCAGGGGCTGCAGCAGGGCCAGGCAACACCAAGGGGTTCCCCCTTCCCAGGGGAAGGGATATCGCTCCTGAGGGTCACAGCCAGCAGTGGGCAGGACCCACAGAGGTTTGGAGAGGGCTTGTCCCCACCACCAAGCAATGAGTGATTCTTCACTCCAAGGGTGAAGAATCATGGTCATTTCCCAGCCTAGCCTCACGATCCATGAAGACACCGGCACCCCAGTGGGCTGGGCTGGAAGGAGGCTCCAGCTCCTCCTAAAACCACTGTAGGAGACTTTCCCCACCACTCCATGCTGCCCTCTCTGTACCAGGTTGCTCTCCGGACCATCTCCAAGCCTGCCCACAGCCCAGGGTGTAGGACGGGGGTCATGGGAAGCAGCAGGCAACAGGCAGGCTGCTGGAGGAGCATCACACCAACAGCTACGCAGACCCACATCAACTCCCAGCTCCCAGGGCACTAATGCAGAGTGGCACCGAGGTCAAGCCCACCTGCCAACAGATCTGTTTCTGCTGCACCTGCAATTACTGCAAAATTTCATAACGATTCAGGGTGGGAGAGCTGCTACCAGTACTGGACACCATCAGCTGCTGGGAAGCTGCTGCATGGTGTGTGTGTGGATGCCTGCAGCCCTGACGATGCCACCACAAGAGGACAAGGCACAGCCTTACAACAAGGCCACCCCAGGGGTGACCCAGTCACTGTGGTCTCCACTCCCACCATCCCCAGGGGTCTAGCTTTGGGAAGTTCAGCCTGGTGGGGGGGGCATTCCCCCTCCCTGCATGGCTGTCACCCAGCACACTGCAGTACCGGTACCCTGCGAGAGGCAGGCAGCACAGGGAAAAGGCACAGCTCTCATTTCCAGCTTCCATCAGATAAGACATTGAAACCCAAACAGATCAGATCCTGTGCTAAGACTCCAGTAATTAACACCAGCCAGGCCTGGCCAGCTGTGGGTAAACAGAAGGTGTCCAGTAGAAATACCCACCAGTGCCTCCTCATGCACTTGGAGTCTGGCCCAAAAGGCATGTGAACATTAATATACACAGTCTTGTTGAGCAAGAGTCACAAAAGCTGTCAGGGAAGGGAGATGATGATGAACCCCAGTGAGCACGGTGACATGAGAAAGAGAAACCTGGAACCACGGCTTCCCTGGGATCCTCCAGTCACACACAGGAGTGGATGGAATCTCGGAGATGGGCCTCTCTCCACCAGAGAGTGGTGGAGAGAGGATTTTAGCCTTGGAAAGGAAAGTGGTGACAAGAGATGCTCAGTCCTAAACACTGAGTACATCTGGCTGCTGTGAGGTGCCACTGGAGAGCTCCATCATCCCCATCTCCATCTCCCATCCCGGTCCCCCAGCACGGGGCATCACCACCCGCCCGTCCCCGCGTACCTTGGTGATCTTGGGCTCGGTGCAGCGGCTGTTGCCACTGCTGGCGTGCATCCAGCTGCTCTCGTAGGCCAGGCAGTGCTGCCGCAGCGAGCAGCGTCTCTCCAACACGCACCAGCCGCACTCGAAGCGCGGGTCGGCCTTGAGGCACAGACCGCAGCTCTCCCGCAGAGCCGAGCACTTGTACAGGTGGGCTGCAATGGCAGGAGGAGTGTGGGGGTCAGCACGGCCCTCCCCACCCAAGGGCACAGTGTTCT